ACATTGGCTCTGCTGCTGGCCTTGACATTTTATCATTTCATTCTCAATGCTCCTATTGTTAAAGAAATAAAATTAACAGTTTGTTCTACATTCTAAGTACAAGCAATTCTTTAGAGTAACATAAATGTGTAATTAAATCACAAAATTCTAAAATAAAGAGGAAATACACTGAAAAAAATTGATTTTAAAAAAAGAGAAAATTCTTCAAATGCACATTGTTAAAACATTAACAAATTAGGAGCTGAAGCAGAGACTTGCATAATTGTTAATTGATTGAAAACATTGATTTGTTGAAATAAATAAACCTAGAAATGTCGCTAAAGAGGAGGAAATTGATGTAAATTAGCTAAAGTATCTGGAAAATTTTCCAGTTAAAAAGATGTATAAACATTTTTTTGGTATAAAATATAAGTGTTTTGTACCTTTTAATGTATATACTAATCTGATTTTTGAATCAGCATCATAAATTACAACTGGTGTAAAGTGTTCTTAGTGCTTTTTTAATTAATATTTTTTAGAAATAAAAAAATTAACCATGCAAATCTATTATGACTAAGGGTATCCAACTACATGATTTAATTATTTGTAACTAACTGCTCACCCTCAGATGTTATCTCTGCATCTTAATATGAGTTAACTTCTTTCCTTAATCCTTATTGTGCATGCAAGATACAACAGAAAAATGCAAAAATTAACACAAAACTTTATTCCTTGCAGCTAATCAGACTTAAAACAATGCAAAACAACCTATCGTCTCTGGTGCTTCAGTTGCTTATTGGAACTTTATATTAAATACTGTGTATTAACTGGGTTACAACCCAGTAAATCTACAGGAAACTGAGACACTAACTGAGCCAGAAAAAGTATAGCTAACTTTTAACACTGACCAACCATCGCAACAACAGGCCTTCACGTTGGTTCTGATTAGTGGCTTTCTGTCTGTAAGCAAGCAGCTATGGTGACAACAGCCAGATATCTATTATGAGTCATGCTGATTATTATTTTGCTTCACAATTTCACTTATGCCATTTGACATAAAATTTGTGTATACCTCTGTACTGAGCGAGTGCGTGATGAAATGAGGCATAAAAGAAAGAATCGATATAAAGCTACCTGTTAGTAAAATATAAATAAAAAGGCCACCAAGCTTCTTTAAAATATGTGTGACTATTATAAGTGTAAAATATAAATGTTTCAAAAAAATTTATAATTTAATGCCAATTACATGAAAAAATTTTAAAGTTAATTTTATTTTCAAATTTGTTTTAAAAATAAGGTAAATATTAGATTATGTGTATTAATTATGCATCCTACTTGCAGATTATATTCTTACAAATTACTAAACTGGTATTACAAAAGGTATAGATAATTGCCTTAGTTTATTCAGTTCCTACTTGCTTGATAAGTCTTCAAATTTTTCATTGATTATCTCCTTAAAATAACGTGACCGCATTTTCATTGAGAAAAAGCAGGACAAATGGAATGAAATGATAATTGTAATTTAGTTATGAAAACAGACCAATAATTCAAAAAATTATATTTTATTGTATGCATCCGTATACTTGTCTATAAATATACAAAAATATATTTATTGTTAATTATTGGTAACTATAAAAATATTTGTAAAAAACGATAATTTTAATATTATGTTTTTAACACGTTGAGCGCCAAGCGTATTTCTTAGGCAATCCGTTCAGGCCAGGCGTGCCACTTAAAAGCGCTGGTATTGTAGGGTCAGCCATTCTTATCGCAGTAGAAGATAGTTTACATTTGGAACGTGATTCCTATAGGCATTCATTCAACATGTTACGCGCAAAGTCTGTTTTGTAAATAGTTACATTCTATAGAAAGATATTACGAAGCAAAAAAATTAGCATTACTGAAGTCCGGAAAGAATTAGCGCTATCCCTTACAATTTGTAAAAAAGAAGATATTCCATCGAACAGAAATGCAAGAATATCTAAAAAACGACAGCATAAATTTCAAAGAAAACTGGGAAAAGCCTCTGAAGTACGGAAATATTGTAAATAATGTTATGATAAAAATGCAACTGAAGCTGGCAGAGTAATGGCCAGAAAAAGACTAAGACAGTTGTCACATTTTGTAGTAGCTGTAATGGAGAACCGCTTTTATGCTTACCATGTTTCAATGAAATCCATTAGTCCTGTAATGAATCAAAATTAAGTAAATTTTAAATAATTTTTCTGTAATTCCATAAAACAGTGTAAATTGTATAGTTATATATCATGTTACACGCTGTCAGCCAGCGGCAGGCGACACGGCCTAAACGAAAAGTCTAGTGTCAGCCACAGATGGCTGACGGGGCCGAAACGGAAAGTTTATAGTGTCAGCTACAGATGGCTGACGCGGCCTAAACGTAAAGTCTAGTGTCACCCACAGATGGCTGACGCGGTCTAAACGGAAAGTCTAGCATCAGCCACAGATGGTTGACGCGGCCTAAACGAAAAGTCTAGTGTCAGCCACAGATGGCTGACATGGCGCTCAATGTGTTAATTAATTTAAAATTTTATTTTAAAAAATTATGATTCTCTTTAACGGTCATATTTTTTTATTCGAGTGAATACTTTGCAATAGATTCCGATCATTTATTAAAATGTCGTGAAATTTCTCACATGAATTGGTAAAAGTTTACCTTATTAAATTTATTATGAAATATAGAAGTATGTATGATCTCAATGGTTTTAAAATTTACAAAAAAAAAAAAGGCTTAATAGTTATTTCTTTACCTTATTAAACATTTCTTTTAATGTAAGTTGTTTCATTTTTTGTGCTAATACTTTCTCTTTAATTCTATAGACAGACATAATCTCTTGTTTAGTTACATTGTTGAAGTCCTGTAACTGCATTCTGACTAACTTGTCAGTCAAAATTTTTTCGTTTTCAGTAACTTCTTTGTCACTTTCTTCTGGATCTAGAACCGTACTACAGATTTCACCATTCATTAATTGTTTGAAGATCAAGAAGCATTGTCATCACAATCAAAAACTTCTTTTATATCATCTTCATTTATTACCGCTTCTCCACATTTCATTACAAAATCCGTTAATTGGAAAATTTCACCTTTGTTTTGTGATATCCGAAAATCTTTAAAATTAGTGGTTATCATCAAATTTAACTGTCGTTCACTATACATATTTGGCTATGCATCATGAGCTTGGCGACTAACGACAAGTTGTTCCGTTAAATTTTATCTTGCTTCTATCGTGCATTGAGACAATTTAAGCCTTTGAATTAGTATTCGTTTAGTTATTTATTATACTGTATGTCTATTTTCTTGCATATGCTTAAGGCTTATCAGAGTTCTGAATAAATAAATTCCCACATATACCTTAAGCCCTATTGAGGAGCCTGTCCTAGATATCTTACCACCTGATGCAGTCTCTGTGGGTCCAAAATTCTGCGACTTGGTGCAGCCATACGAGCCCTGGCGCTGGTTCTGGCTTTATGTGAATAACAAATCAGTTATCCCATTGTTAAAGAAATTTAACATGGATTTTAAAAATGCTACTTTATATTTGTATTTCAGCATGCGCACTGTTCCGATATCCACGGGCTGAATGATAGACGTACAATTTGGAGGGAAGAATAATGCAAATACATTATCTTTCACTAAAACTTTAAGTGAAGTATGCGCCGAACAGTGGTCAACAATCAAGACTATTTTTGAGTCATCAGGTAAGCCAACCAAATTGAAGTGTCACCGATCCTCAGGTATAAAATGATTTTCAAACCAATCATTCATCAACGCTTGTGTCATTCATGCTCTTTTATTTGCATGATATATAACGGGGAAAATCATTACTCCTTTAAATGATCGAGGTCGTGTATGTTTCCAATTACGAAAGGTTTGCACTTGTGTGTTCCTGTAGCATTTGCGCATGCTAAAATTGTTAGTATCGCTTTAGAATCTTTGACACCAGTTGGAGCCTTTTCTGTAGAGGTTGCCAAGGTATTTCACGGTACATATCGCCAGAAAAGACCAGTTTCATCAGCGTTGTAAATTTGTTCTGGAGATAATTGTTTACCAGTAATGAGTTCAATGAATTCATCTGCAAATTGTTCAGCAGGTTCAGTATCAACTGTAGCTTTTTCACCTGAAATTTTTAATTGTCTTATAAAATGGCGATTTTTAAATTTGGTTAACCAATCTGTCGAATATGTGCACTCAGTGTTTAAGTTCATTTCTTCATGAAATAATTTGGCTTGAGCCATTAGCATTGGACTCGTCAATGGCACGCCTTCACTGCAGTCACTTTTAGCATAACAAACCCTTTTTCTGTTATTCATTGCAAGTGGGGTGTCGGAATCCACAAAATATTCAAAAAGTTCCTTTTTGCTTATGTCATATACAGTTGACTTTCAAATGTCATACTCCTCACATAATTTTGAGACGGATATGCCTTTATCCATTTTTTGCTGCAATTCCACTTTATGTTTGATGGACATCGAAACATGCTTTCACTTTGTAGATCCTTTGGCAGCTCCAGAACTGGAAACTCTTTTTTTACATAATCGAAAGTTCAAGCTTAATTTTTATAAAATTCCTCTAACAGTCTGCAAAAAAATAATAAGATGATTAAGGAACAGCGCAATCTGCAACATTAACTGAAATGACTTAGAATCAGTAAAGATAATTTTAGCCTAGCTTATACCGTCTGTTATACATTAAACGTGCATGCGTAAAGCATACAAAAAAAAAAAAAAAAATTGTGGCTTTGAGGTCTGGATTACGGACTTTGTACCATAATATTCACAACAACAAAAATAACATTCAAGAGATTCCTTTTAAGCATTCTGACATAATTTATTCACAGTTAAAATTTGAAATAAAGCATTCAATTTCAGTATATGGTATATTCAGTATATATATATCAAATATGGTGCATTGGGCCTCCAATAAGCTTTACTTAGACTTTTATCATAAGTGGATTTTATGAAAAAATTTTGATATCCTGTATAAAAATTACAAAAGGTTTTGTTTTCAGGTTATGTCGCACTGGCTTCTTAAAGTAGGCAGTTGTGCCTCTCTTGTATTTCTTTACTCATCTTTTGGGAAAGTGGATGCAAGTAGCAGATCACTCAAGTATTACTTCAATTCAGACAGGTATAAAGTGTTAATATTTATAGTGTGGAATATTTTATACTTTATTAGTGTAAAGGAATTGCGATTAAAATCAGTCATTTTACTTTTGAATTTCTCCTTTCAAAGCATTTATTAGCACAACTTTTTTTTTCCTATTACGTAAGGCCAGTTTAATAAAATAAAATTTTAATTAATATTCATTCCACATACTCTGCTCAATGTAAAAATTGTTCCACTTAAAAGGCTATAGATATAGAGGTAAAAAGCAGTTTGGTAATTAGGAATACAGAAGCGTTTACCTTGATTTTATTTCCAGTCGCGTATAGTATTAAGAAGAAGAAATAATACAGTCAAAAGTCTTTAATCCGGACTCGTCGGGACTTCGGTGATTCCGTATTATCAATTTTTCTGGATTATAGATCATCAGTTTAAATCGCATTAGATGGCATGCAGAAATTCTAAAATTAAAAATATGAAACCGTAATTTATGAAATAAAGAACAATTATGATCTAAAGGGTATTAAAATTTACAAAAAAAAAGCTTAATATTTATTTGTTTACTTTATTAAACATTTCTTTCAATGTAAGTTGTTTAAGTTGCTTCATTTCATGTGATAATACTTTCTCTTTAATTCTATTAAACAGACATAATTTCTTGTTTAGTTACAAAGTTCCGCTGTTCAAGTCCTATAATTGCTGTGTTGAGAATACCGACTAATTTGTCAATCGAAATGTTTTCGTTTTCAATAACCTCTCTGTCACTTTCTTCACTATCAGAAGCAAATTATACAAAAAAAAAAAAAATTTTTTTTTTTTTTTTCGTTTTCACTAACCTCTCTGTCACATTCTTCATGTCTTTATCCATTTTTTGCAGCAATTCCACTTTTTGTTTGATGGACATCGAAACATACTTTCGTTTTGTACGATCCTTTGGGAGCTCCAGATTCGGAAATTCTATTTGACATAATCGAAAGTTCAAGTTTACTTTTATAGTATTGCTTTTACAGTCTGAAAAAAATAATAAGCCGGATCCAATTCGAAAATTAAGGAACAACGCAATCATCAACATTAACTAAAATAGATAATTAGATAATTTTAGCTTATACCGTTCGTTATACATAAAACGCGCACGGGAAACCGTATTCTGCACTTGCGCACACGCAAATGCGCAGTGTTGGAAAATATAGCTTATTGTAAACCTTTTACTGCATCATCTCTCCTCCTTGAAATATTTATTTAGTTTAGTTCTTATTTTAATGTAATATAGTAGTTACTTCTACTTCTTTTTCTTGCTGCCACTGTTTGCATTGAGAACGGACTATTTCAACCTAATTGAGATGCAAAAATGAAACGTGATGTTACATCATCTGAAAAGCCGATTCGTGCCGATAGCTGATTGGTTGCCGTGAGATGACGTCATTCCTACTTCTGCTATAAGTATCTCGCGTCGCTCTGGCTCAACCCTTCTAGTCTCCTTCTAGTTCCTGCTTTCCTGGCACTTGAGTGAGCGGTTTCCAGCCCCTTCAGAAGGATGCATGTAGTCCGGTGATTAAAGTGCCTTGGTTCCGGTTTGCGGGATGGCTGTTCCTGAATAAAGTTCCTTGGTGCCTGTCCGCGGGATGATTGTTTCCGGAATGAGTTCCTTGGTTGATATCCATAAGATGGATTGTTCCAGAATAAAGTTCCTTGGTTCCAGAGATTTCTACCATGTGAGTGACTGCCTGTGGGCGGCATCCATGTTCTTCAATGAAGATGGCAATTTAAAATACGTGAGCGGCGATTCCTTGTGCAAACGGAGTTAGGCCGGATTTTAAGTGCTTTCAAGAACTTCATTTAAAATTTCAGGTGTTTTCTCAACCATTGATTCAGGGACGTTATTGACTGTGTAGCCAAGCTTCATTTTTAGGCCGCATAATTAATGTTTAGGACATTTTGTTTAGAATGCCAGTGTTTTGGAGACCAGGTAAAAATATTATTTGATGAATGATGGTTATATTATATTTTTCCTAAGACTCTGATATTGTTGAAATTTATTTTCTGTGTTTTTATTCTTTATTATATTGTTAATAAATTGGTTAAGTTCAAAATCTTTTATTGTCTTCAATGTCTGAACAGCATATCTCAGGGAGCTTTTATTGATACTACTGCTAAATGTTTAATTTCTTTAAACTTTAAACTTTGCTTTAGCATCACACAGTCGTAAGAGGTCTTACGCGCACGCGTAAACGCCTATGCGCATGTGTCAACACGGCGCATGTGCAGAAAGTTTTTAGCTTTGAGGTCCGGATTATAGATCATTCCGGATTATGGGTGTCCGAATTAACGACTTTTGACTGTACAAGATGTTGCAAACACTTGAAAAAATGGATGTAGTTGGCATGAATGGGAATACTGATAGCAATATGCTGTAGCAATGAAATTTATGATCTACAGATGTAGCACTGCGGAACTATATCAGGTTGATTATCTGTAAGTTCTCAAGATCTCATGCTGGAAGATTCAGTTTCAAACAGCATACAATGCAGTGCTATAAATTTCTGAGTGGGGATAAATTTGGTTACCCTTCTTATCATGGCGCTGCTTTAACATGTAGCAATTATTGCACGTAGAACCGTATAGTATGTGAGCAGGTGTACCGTAATTTCGGGTAGATAAGCCATGGCTTATACATGTTTAAAAGTTGAAAATTTAGGTCTGCGGCGTTTCTGAGGGAATTTTATTTTTCCTCTGTCCTTAAAACTTCACCAGTTCAGATCGTAAGTTATGCGCAAGTGAAACGGTAAGAATTCGCTGCAATATTCTAACCTCAGATTGCGCTAAGGCAGTGCTATAAGTTCAAACTCGCCTAATTAAGGTAGGTGGCGCTCTCTATAAAGATACCGAAATGCATGTTCTTTCTGCTAAGTTTCATGTTTTTGCCTTCGTTTTTCCTATGACTTCTTGTTTTAATGGAAACAGCTATGTTTACTTGCCAAGTGCTGTATTCATTCATACATGTTTTTACTGCTTTGTAGCTTGCTTTTTGCTTGCCTTATCATTCGCGCTTTAAAAATATTATTGTTGTAAATTAATTGCTTTAAAAATATTATCTCCTACTCAAAAAAATCTCCTGCTCTGGAAATCACTTTGCAGCTAAGGAATTTCAAGCTGACAAGCGATGCATTCGTCAGTGGAAGTCCGAACAAGAAGAATTAGAGAAAATACCTAAGAATAAAAGATCTCGTTGAACTGGTGTCATAGCCTGGCCTCTTTTGGAAGACAGTTTAGAGAAATGAACACTAGAGCAGAGAGAAAGTGAATATCAGTATCAACAGTTAGAATGAGCATTAAAAATTTTGTTGGAGAACCTAATTGGTGTTTCAGGTTCATAAAGTGAAAGAAGTTATCTATCAGAACCAAAACAACAATTAGACAAAAGATTCCCGTGCACTGGTTTGAAAAAAAAAATATATATATATAGCGTTTTTGGAGTATACATCTAAGAAAATTAAAGAACAAAATCTTTAATATGGATGAAGTGCCTGTTACTTTTGACTGTCCTCCAAGCAAAACTCTTAATTCAATAGGTGAAAAAAATATTTCAGTATTAACCAGGCACTTTACTTGGAACTTTTAATTTTACTTGTGTTTTGGGTTGTGCCGCCAATGGCACAACCCAAATTTAATTATTTAATTTTAATTATCAAATTAAACCTTTGATAATTTTCAAAAGAAAAATAATTCCAAAAGGAAATTTCCCGAAAGGAGTCATTATTTGCGCTAACGGATAAAGGATGGATGTGCGAAGAAGTGATGTTTGGGATGAGAGAAATTTATTGAAAAAGGAAAGTTACTGTTTTCCAACTCATTGTTCTTGATCCAATACAACCCCATTTACTGGATATGGTAAGATCTAAAATAAAAAACTTACCATCAATGTCTCAGTGATACCAGGCGGGCTTACAAAAATTTTACAGTCGCTGGATCTCACTATCAATAGAATTTTAAAGCATGAACTACAAAAGCAGTGGGAGAAATGGATGCAAAGTGGACTCCATTTCTTCACAAATTCCGGACAAATGAAAAGAGCTTTATATAAGGAAGCTTGTCTTATGGGTCGATAAAGCATGGCAATCAGTCTGAGCTAATATGATCATATCAGCTTTCATTAAATTGGAAATCATCAAAAAAGAAAATGAAAGTAAAGATAGTGACGTCGAAAGAAGTGAGATTTAGAACAGAATGATGAAATTGACCTAGATGGTCATTTGTTAAATTTAATTCTGATAATGATAAGTCAGATTTTGAAGGTTTTGTATAAATAAATGTAGTTTAATTTAATAAAAAAATTCTGTTTGTTTATCTAATTTACATATTCTTTTTTATAATATAATTTATGGTGATTTTTAATCTAATATTTTTTATGTGTGCTTATTTAATACAAATATGTTATGGAAATGGCAATATATATTTTTTTTTTAATATTTATATTGAGAAACTGAAAAATAATCATTCTAAAATGTAGTGGTGATACTAAAGTTCTTCAGTTTTTGGTTAGGTGGTACGCATTAGTCAAAAGACCGCTGTTTGAGATTAACATCATTAGCTGCTCTTCAGTTGGTATGCCTGTTCTACAGTTTGTCTTAATATCAGCAGTTTAAGGTTGAAATTATCCTATCTGCCTTTAGCAAAATGGCAGTTTCTCTACTGTCTCTTGAGCTTTCATGATATTACTTAGATCATTAAAATGAGGCTGTGGTCAACCTTTGAGAGGGGAGATCACTAAATCTTTATTCATGTTTGATAAACACATTGTGGGAACTGAATTTATTCAAAAAATGTTTTTAATCTGGAAGGGGATAAAAATGTTAGAATTTATGTTTGTGAACTAAACTGTGATGGCAATATTTTTTATTTTAATATGGTAAACATTGTTGTAAAAGTGATTTCTTAATTTGCGTTTACAGAAGAGCATACATAGGCTGTTTGCCTAAGAAAAGGGTTAACTTCATGGAGGATTTCTTTTAAAGTAAAACTGCATT